CAGCAAGAAGGACCTTTACCGCCAAGTTGAATTGCATCAGGTTACATCAATATCCATTCAAAAGTGAGATATAGGGCGTTATTACAATTCGGACCCGAATGATACCCTCCAAACTCGTAAGAGAAAATTTATTATTTGCCTTGAGGGATTGCAGATATAAAGCATTTACTCTGAGAAAGAAGCCGCTAGTAATCTTGCGGCAAAACACAGACATAGACGGTAAGGAAAGGCAAAGCTTCGAAAAGAGAACTTCCCGTTCCGTTTGTTCCCAAGTCTTCAAGATTTGGAGACGAAATTGAAACTATAGCCGAGACGGTCGAATTTGACAGAAGAGAAGTCGTTGGAGAGAAAGTGGAGGAGGATAAGAAAGAGTCTGCATAAAATCAAGGAGGAGGAAGAGGATGAGAAGGAATTTGGAGAAAAGTCGAGGAGGAAGAGGAAAAGGGATTGGGATAAATAGGAGAGAGAAAGGATACACCAGATAAGTAGAAATACATTGACAGGTGGAAATCAGTCTCACACTGCTAATCAAGTGATCCATTACGCTTATTAAAGGGTCGAGCGTAAGAAGTGTAATTGTAAATTTTAGTCATTTGATTATTGAACTGTTATTCAATTATTATTCATTGAATTTCAACCTTTTTTTAATATATTTAACCATCTGACCGTCGGTATAGCTGACTGTGGGCTCAGAGCTTTACATCAATATTTTCTATAATAATTTAGATAAAATATTTGTGCACCCCACCCCAATCAATTACTTTGTCACACCCAGTATAAAACTCCTGACTTCAACGATTCTCTGAGGGCAAACCTTGGACAGAGTTGTGGAAGATTCTTAAACTTCTCTAACCATCTCGCAAATGTTGCTTCGAAACTCAAAGAAGATCAAAGCAGAGGCTTCAAACAAATACCATTATTTAGAGCGAGAGCCCCCTCTTTCCAGTCTGATTGTATAAGCATTAATGTTGTAACGAGAAGAAAAACATCTGAACAACTAGTCAAACATATGCAAATTAGTAACAAATGTTTGACGTTATCACCTGAGAAATATTACATCTATAGGGTAAATGAGCTAGTATAAACTCAATAGATTTATCAATATGAGAACTATACAATTAGTTCATTATCTAAATGCTATAGTTCCCCACGCCACTGTGCTTCAAGAGTATTTAAAGACATTGATAATTCACACACTTACATATGATGATGTTGATTAAGTGTTTCATTATTTTGTATAATTTATTAATAATAATTTAATTTAATGATGTTTATTCATTTTCATTGCAATTATGTAAGGGAGATAAAACCACAAACACATAAAAATGGGTGACATAGATAGGCAGAGAGACAGACATACACAGACAGACATACACAGACAGACAGACACAGACAGACACAGACTGACAGACACAGACAGACACAGACACAGACAGCCACAGGCAGACAAAGACAGCCACAGACAGCCAGCCACAGACAGTCACAGACAGCCAGCCACAGACACAGACACAGACAGACAGACACAGACAGACAGACAGACAGACACAGAGACATACATACAGACACAGAGACAGACAGACACAGACAGAGACACAGACAGACAGACAGACACAGACACATACACCGACGTTGGGCGGGTAGCAAAGGAAAGGAAATTCTAACTCGAAAATGTATGTGAAGGTTTCCTTTGAGCAATGAAGTTAATTGTGGATGAGCTATGCTACAAAAATGTTACAATTAAAGATGCTTCGATATTTATTTTTATACGTACTAGGCATTGAGATGTAACATGAATTCATTAAAACAGTCATTAAAGTTTTCCTTATCTGAGTTATTTTCATATTGTGTTGTAAAATCACTAAATCACGATAGGATTGAAATAGGTAAGCTAACCCCCCTTTCTCCCATATCGGTTTACCCCTAGGTCAGAAAATGCGAACATAAATTAGACTCTTAGCGACTAAATTATTAGAAAGAATAGATAATGCCAGAAATCAAAGTTAACTAACCGTAAATTGGGTATAAATGCCCGAGCCAGGGAGGATGGCCACCAGTAACGTCAGCGTCAAAAGCGAAGAAAATACAGTCTACGAATAGCGGAACATCGACATAATATGGTTGAGCAAGTCTGGTTACTAAGACCAAAATCATTCGACCGAGTCTTATTAAATATTTGAACAAATGCACATAAGAGCCGAAATCACTATCTGCTGACCATCGCGAGGATAATCAGGCTGCTGATGTCCATTAGAAAAATGAGCTGTGACTTTCATCGGAGTAAGAAAGTAGCCCTGTGACACCTCTATCCCACGAGGTGTTTTATATACAGTACATTTAATTGAAAGCAAATTTACCGGTTGCAAGTCAATATTGAATTGATATTATATATGGGTTGCAAGTCAATATTGAATTGACATTATTTGCCACACTGGCGTAATTAGTGTAACTTAAGCTATCGCATAGGATATAAAGAAATTTACCCCGATATTAACTTTGACGTCGATGGTGTCGTGAATAATGATCAAATATATGAATTGTATATATTGTATAATCAAGTATATCATCATCGTTTTCGTTATTATTATTATTATTATTATTATTATTATTATTATTATTATTATTATTATTATTATTATTATTATTATTAAAAAGTACGAAGATTATTGAGACAAGAAAATGAGTTTATTGACAAAAAAAAAGATCTTTAAAGTGCTTAGCAAGGTGAAGAAGTCTTCATCAGACACCTGACGATACAAATACCAAAATGTAGATTGGGTTGAGCAAATATTGACTCTAAAAAGCACTTAATTTTAGAATGCCAACGAAATAACTTGATAAGGCAAAATATCAAAAATAAAATTCAACAAAAATATGGAACAAATGAAACTGCACAACTTTTATTTACAAATGGCATCAATGATAAGAAATTATATAATGACCTTAAAATTTAATTAATTTAGTTTAAAAAAAAAACTATTCGTGCTTATAAATAGAAAATTGCACAAGATATATATATGCCTGTGTGGTCTTTATTCTTACAAAACTTTTCTATCACTTATCTATCTTCTATATGCACACACTAAAATAGTAAGGGTCCAAAGATAAGGAGGCCGGTATCGATCTTATATCACAACCGGTCTCCTGAATCAAAGGAGCCAATAAAATTAAAAGAAACTATGAGAATTTAACCTATCTAGACAGACACATCAAATAACACACTCATATAGCATACATAGGGCATAACGGATCCCTGGCAAGGATGACTAAAATGTAAATCAGATTTGACTCCAACCCGGGAGAAATAGCTCTAATATTACACTATGTTAGGAATGCGTTTAAACTATATTCCATAATTATAAAATCCCCCAAAAAAATCGTAAAAATACAAGCACAAGCACATACACTTTGACACAATACATATACTCATACGAACTTTATATTTTAAAACTAGGGGATCCCTCGGATGATGAATTCTGAGAGGGATCATGCCAATAAATAAATTTGTGGATTTATCTAAGAAAGGTTAAGGACCTAATATTTAAACAGTTCATGCAGAAATTAATTATCGATACCTTTTGTTTTAAATCTTTAAGCATCAGCATTTCACACAGGAGTGAATTGCTTTTCTCTGACATCTGCTTCTTAGAAGATATACATATCATATATTGGCTACCAATAGGAAAACGAGGTAAGGCATGCTGGTAGAAGTTATGAAAAGTGTACATGGAGTTACACCTTAGATCACCAAGGGCCGTTACTCTTGCTAGAATGTTGATTATCTGTGTCAGATTGTGTTGATTATCCATGTTCGGTCGTATACATGTATTACTAGTATATAAATCCTTATTGAAACTGAAGTCAAAAAATGCCTTATATGCAGTGGCGTGGTCATTCCAGTGCCGGATTAAACCCTGTGGAGGCCACTAGGCAGACGAAATCTGAGTCCCCTTTGCAACTTTGCAACTGATCTCGTAATACGTCAAGATCAAATCAATTCAATATTATTTAGATCATTTGTTGCGTGGTCCCTAAAGGCATGGGGCCAATAGGCCGGTGCCTACTCTGCCTGTTGGGTAGTCTGGCACTGGGTCAGTCGCCTAAGCCATCTTGGCAACTGTGTGTGTTGGGATGGGTTGGTTCTGTGGGGAATACCAAATTCCCATCAAATAACCCCTTTTTAATAAGGGACCCCAAAGGAAAATTATGCAGGCAATTACGTAACTTTTTCTGTAAAAATTCTCTTGAAGTCGTTCCAGCATTACTAATATATCCAAACCACTACTGTAAAATTTTAAAAACGGTGCGAGAATAGATTGTAGCTACGAGTAAAGTGCATACAAGTCGTTTTGCATGTTGCACAATCGTCAATATACTGATTCCCCTGTTCCCCACCCACGACCCACCGTAACACACTTTCAAGTAATACATATATATATATATATATATATATATATATATATATATATATATATATATATATATATATATATATATATATATATATATATATAATCTCCGTCAATTAAAATTATTTATCCCATATGATAAGATACACACACACACACACACACACACACACACACACACACACACACACACACAAACACACACACACACTGTCAGTATTTCCTGATATATGATTTGGATCATGCACACATCAGAAAGCTGACGTTACAGTGTCGATGGTAGATGCATTTCTGGGTAGCATATACACTGGTATGTCGACCTAGTAATGAATTATTTGTAAAGTCATTCCGGGTGCATAAGATGGAAATCATTATAGAGGTTATCAAAGGGTACCTGTTAACCGCTAACCCTCATTCTAATCTCCGTACAGCACGACTTTAAATTGTCTATTCTGTACTATAATGCTATTTATTCGCATTTATACAAAAATATTATCAAGCAATCGTTTATATTTGTTTCTTTAATATTTTCTGTCTTTTTCTTTTTTAGATATTTGTATCTCAAATTCTAAATAGGGTATTTCCACTTCGCTTCGCTCAGTTGGCCTAATAGTTAGAGCATCCGCCTCCAGTGCGGAGTTCGCAGGTTTGAATCCCGGCTGAGTCATACCAAAGACTTAAAAAAATGGTACCAACAACTGCCTCGCTTGGTACTCAGCATTAAGTGGTTAGTTTTAGGACTGCTCGGCCTGGTGTCAGGATAATGTGACTGGTTGGGACATCATGCCACATGTCTGAGGCATAAAACTCCAGTTCTAGACATCTCTATAAACTTTCACACTGCATATCATAGTGATATGACTTAAAAATTGTTAAAGCTACGTTAAAAATTTAAATTACTCATCGCAATGACCACTTCGCTTACGGTTGGGCTTAAGTCTCTCCATTTATGTTTAGGACTTGACTGACCTTCCGGACCTTACTGACTGATCTCCTATTTCTTTCTACTTTCTCCTATTTCTTTCTACTTTAGGCAAGATTTTATTGATCCATAGCAATTACGTCTTATATAAGTAACGGACTCGTGTAGCCTGCTTCTTGTTGAGCGTGTTAGTTTCTGGGATTGTTGCTCTCGCAGCATAGCATTTTTAAATCTCCCTATTGGAATCTCCTTGAAACCATCATGGTCGTTTCTTACCATTTTGCATTGGAAGCTTATCTTATCTGCATACATATCCTATACCATATTTTTGGTAACAGGAAACCAGCGAGGTACATAATTGGTCGAATTGTTTTCGTTTCACTTTCTTTGTCTCCAGTGTAAGAGCAATTACCTCTTCTCCTGGAAAGGGATCATGCCTAAATGTTGCGGTTCTCCAGCTATACATTAGAGTGTCCATCTTAGAGTCAATTTTTTTTCGTATTGTCTTATACATGGTTTTCTAGTGGGAATCTATATTTATGCACATCTATAAATGTTGTGGGCATAAATCTAGAAAATTCATTGGAAACCGACACCTGAAATGGTTTTCACCTTTTTTTTTTTCCTGCGTATATTTGGTCGTAGGATACAAACTCCTCGGGGGCACCCCGAGTTACCAAGTGGTCTAAAGCGCTTACGTATCACTACCATCTCATCTCTCTCTGCGTCGGTTTGAGTCTTGGATTCGTCCAATGTGGTTATGTGAGAAAGCTTACCAATAGCTTCTCGTGGGTAGATTGTTCTTGCCTGTTTTTTCATTGGCTCTTCCTCCACCATTTATACTGGCCGCCATGTATAGCCTATATTGTGCTCAAAATGGCATTAAACCTTACACCACCACAACCACCACCACCACCACCATCAACAAATTCTTTGACTTAAAGTCGAGAATGTTTTAATACTTAGCACTTATGATTCCCTTCCCACGAGCGCGGCAAGAATATCAGCAGAAAGCTTGCTTTTTATCCTGATTTATCACCTTGAGGTCAACGCGCCTATATGGGGGCAATAAAAATACATAAAACCAATTAACTTTTTGAACTAGGGGGTACCTCATATGATAATCTGAGAGGTATCACACCAATAAACTTTGAGACCTGCACATCTCCAGCTGTAGAGGTATGTAACTTATTTATGTGTTGTAAGTTATTGATATTGTACTATGTTATATTCGTTTTTCTGTAGCTTTGACTTGTATAATGCTAAGTTTCTAGTCGAATTTTTAACTTAGCAAGAACTTTGCAAAGTTGCATTATGAATTGTATAATTCACCAGTTCACTTCTTAGCCTGTTTATTGTTTTGTAATGCAAGACTGATTATTACTTTCTAATGCTAATGCAAGACTTATAATGTATCATTTATAATTTAACTTATATAACTACCGTATATACCAGTGTCACTCATAGTACACTGTTTTGGATGTATTTTTCAGCTACGTGTTTTCTTTTTCAAGCTACTTCGATCTGTTTTGAGTGCTTCGAATAATTCGGCGATGTTTGGAGTGATCCATGCTGATGGTTTATAGTCTGGTTGCAGGTGATCGGGCATTGCAGATCAAAAGTGATTGAAGATAAATGGTGAAATCTGATATTTATTATGTGTTCACTATTGAAGGAGTAAAATATCAGTTCACTATTTTGAATGAGTTAAATGTCAGACTTTTTTGAGTAAATATCAATTCAATATTTTAATGAAAACATTTGTTTTGCCAGTGTGAAATATTCGCCCTTTTTTGATATACCATGAATTGGTTTTTGTTTTTGTCCTGGAACGGTCTTTGAAACACATAATGTGTTTGCTTTTGTATTTGTTTCATTACTAGGATCGTGCGAATTATATTAATTCGTCCAATATTTGGACCTATACACGCAAGCATACTTAGCTTATTTTCATACATTATATATTGTTAACCATCAATAGTGTTAAATCCGAAAATCTCAATTTTTATCTTGTTACAAATGGTGTCATAAGTGGGATCATTTGGGATTTTAAAGAACATTATTTAGTTATTAGTCTATGATTGTTTTTGTGTGTTTCAGACGTTCTTGACAAGGCAGGTTGAGTAGCCTTCTTACATGACTTTGTTGTACAGTTCATGTCGTTGCCTTCTGATAAAGAAAATACGGTTTGTTTAAATCATAGTGCTGCACTTTAGGTTGGTCGTATCAGTTTTTTAGATGTCATCGATGAAAGAACTTGTGGAACAGGGGGAGAGTTTGGCTATGAGCGGGTGTCTGTGAATGTGGTCAAGTCGTGAAGACGTACGAGGGTCTTAATCGATTTCTTGTTTCGGGAGCAGTCATGAACGAGTTCCATGACATGAACAGTTCTATCGTGTGTTCAGTTATAAATTGCCTTTATTCAAACTATTATTCATTTGAATTAAAAATCCTCATTACTATATTGGTAAAACATTAAATTGAAATTTTTCGGAGAGTGATATTTAGGATTATTATTGTGTTCCATCAAAAGATTGTTAGAATTATGTCACCGTCCAGATTTGAATCTGAAATGTGTAATAATTGGCGAAGGTAATAGAATATCACGAATCAAGTGCAGAATTAATATCTTCTGTACACGTGTACAAATATTGTCGATTTTGTACGCTATTTATAACGTCTATAAAGACCACCAGCAACCTATAGATCACAACTATATTAACATGAAGCTGCGAAATTCTTGTTTTGCTATGTTTGCGGTTGCTACATTTTGTTTTCAGAGAAAATGTTTTGGTGTCTACTTTTCACAAGGATTGGTATAACATGTTGACAATATCGATGGCTCCTCTTTCCGGCCGAGTGGCGCATCAGTCGGTTTTACTGCCTAGACATTTCAGATGCTTTTGATTGGCTAGCTTCAACATTCACTATTTCCAGCTGGTTCTACTCTGCGTGATTGCTGATTGGTGCATCTATTCTTCTGCCTCGACCTTACTAGTTATCTTCAGGATTATGGTTTCGAGTGGGATGCCTCTTTCTAGCTCATTATCTTGAGCTACGTTGGGCACATGGTTTGCTATAGGTCACTGAAATATTTCATTTAAGTAAGAAGAAGTGAAAAGGAAAAATGTTTCTTAAAACGGCAAGATATAAGTAAACTCGCCGATAGCAAATGCAACGAACATGAACGTTATGGTATTCGTCAACATGTCTTTCATGGATATGTCTTGAATGAAATTGCAACGAAGGTTATAGTATTCCTCAACATGTATTTCTTTCACGTATGTCTGTGGAATGAAAGGCAACAAAATAGAAGTTAATTGATCATTCAAAACTGACATGTTTAGAGTATCTTTTCATTGAAATCTTTTTATGTGTAATATTTCCTTATTTCATATTGACTAGTGCTGTAACAATTGTACCGTTTAGAACTGAATTGAATTTTGTATTGTAATCAAGTTTGTTCATTCGTTTTAGTCAAGAATAATGCAGTTTTGTAGGGTTTCAGTCCTTAATTTTAATTTTGTAATGGCAATTAATTTACTGGTGCTGGTCGTATTTTATATTGTGGGACCTATATTTGGAATACTACCTTATTCAGTTTGTCAAAGTTTCATCAAATTCAGTTGTTGCTATGTATATAAATGGAGCATAAATTCCTATATGAAGAATATTTCATATTTTTCAATCTTATAATTGATTAAATGTAGTTTAAGCAATACACAATGCATCATTCTCTAGCCCCTTGCTGCGCCCCAATTTGTCTGCTATGGTTTATGTGCCCAGACACGATTTCGTTGCAGCCAATATGTGGTAATAAGCTAATATTTTTAATTTGGTTTAAATCGGGTGACTGGATTGGAGCGTGTTCTCAAACACTGTCAGTGTCCATACTTAAATTATATCAGATAATTAAATATTTTCGGTCCACACTTAAATCATACCAAAATAATTAAATTAAATACAATATCCATATTTATAAATCACCAAAAAATATGGCCATAATCCATAAGTTCAGCTACATTTATAACATTTCATTTTGATCTCCGATTTTAACGTTTATTGCACATTTGTGGCTGCATAATTTTAACTAAAACGTCGTCAATAATTTAAATGTTTCATAAGTTAAGATGTCCTTTCTCAGTTATTTTCTCAAAGCTAATAGTTTTATAACAAGAGCTAAGAAAGTGATAACTATTTAGAAATGTTATCTGATCTTTAATACTGAATATGTTAGACCAGAAATATTTTTAATGGAACACAGAATATTAATTTATTCAGAGGAATTTTACAAAGCAATACTTACATTAGCTATCATAATGATAAATGAGAGTAATTAATGCAGTTGAAATATGTATTCATATTTGACTGTAAATATCGTACAATTTTTTTTGTGTGGAGGGTTCTCCTATTTGTAAGTATTTTTTTCTTGCCTTGTCCAGTGAAATATAGTCATGCATTTATTCAGACTAATATTGAATTATTTACATTCATAGCTAGTTTTCTTAAAACTTGAAACGTCAAGCATAGGACGGTGTATGCAATAACTTTCAGCATGAGTTTCATCTGATTATGCCGACAAGTTGTAATAACTCTCAAATTTTCTCGGCTCTTTTGATAATATTTCAGATTCTCACGATCAAATTGATCTGTAACAGCCTTCTTAAATTTAGTTTAATTCTGTTTGACTTTCCATGCATCAAATATGTAAGTTTAAAAGATCCAATTGTTTCAGATTCCGTCCT